AACATGCCCAAGGTTGAATGGGAATGGAGGACATTATTGCATCTCATTATTTCTTCGGAATAAAAATGGATTCGAGCAGCAGCTGGGCGGTGAGGCTACAGCAGAGCAATTAGAATTCTGAAGCGCTCACGCAAACATCGGAATGCGCAATCATTGTCATAAGTACATTAAAATAAAATAAGTTGAAGGGTTGCATTTGCATAAACAGCCCAAGGTGAGGGTGTGGGGTCCCGCTAAGAATAAAGAGGACGCAGCTAGTTGATCCTAATGAAGGAATGGTGACCAGTCTGTACTCCAGACGGAGGCCCTCAGGGCTGGGATGGTTGAAGCCCAGTGTTAATTACTGATCTGGGTCACTGCTCATTCTTCCTTCTCTTTGGGTGGTGCATACGGTTTGCAAGTTTTCCATAATCCATCCTCACCGACGTGCCCGCGCGGTAAGGATGGGTATTGTGCCCATTTTCCGCATGAGGGGAAGGAGGCGGGGAGAGTCACTGCGATTCTAGGAGCGTGGCTTTGGTCCAGACATATGTGCCCTGTGCCCCCATTTTCTCCTCTGAACTAGGACCGTGCTGCCTGCTTAGCCCTTTCGGAGGGGGTTGGGGCCACACAGTGTGTGAGGGCCGGAGTATGAGGGTCCATGGACGCCGAGAGGGTGAAGGTTATCCTGTACGCATTTGCCTAGAAACCTCTCAAGGTTGGTTTCAGAGGAAGGGACCCTGGGTTTGGATTTCTGGGTCTCGGGTCTCCAGGGAAAGGAGAGGGGAGCTGAGACCTGTTTGCCTCTGGCGGGCAGGAAGGTGAGGTGTGACATCGCCTGTTCTCAGAGGGGTGGATGGATACAGAGAAGGTGGTCTGTCCGTACAATGGGATACGTTTCAGCCTTTTCAAAAGGGAAGTCCTGCCATTTACGACAACACAGAGGAGTGATGTAAGCCAGTCCTAGAAGGACACGTGTGGCATGATCTGAAATTTAGGCGAGGAATCTGAAATAACCAAAGTCCTCGGAGCAGAAAGCGGAATGGTGGTTTCCGGGGCCTGGGGCCGGGAAATGGGGAGATGCCGATCATGAAGTCTCAGTCACACACGACGCGTGAGTTCCAGACGTCATCTGTCCAACATCGCGCCGACAGATACCAACACTGTGCTGTGCACTTACACATGGGTTGAAGATAAATGTGTTAAGTGTTCCTCCCATAACAAAATAATATTTAAAACAGGAAGAGGAGGGAGAGGAGGGAGAAGTCCGCTGCTAGAGAAAATAGCATTGACTCGGGGTGACAGGAGGCGCCAGGCCTCCGGATCTCCCCGACTTCCCCGCTCTCTGACTTTTCTGGATGCTACTGAAGGCCACAGGGCCACGCCGAGCCAGTCAGCCCCACTGTGGGGCCTCTCTGAGTAGATGACACGTAGAAATCAAGAGCCATATGAGAACTGATGGGGACGTCTGGTCCCGATAACCACAAATTAACCAGAGGACTCGGCCATTCTCGAAGGTCGGATAAGCTTCGTCCATGGCAGTGTTTCCTGTGTCGGGTTTTGCTGAGTTTCTGCCAGAAAGTGCTCACACTCGTGAGCTCTTGAAATCAGTGGTTTATGGAGGCTTTCTGCTCAGGGGGCCAAATTGCAATCCTCAGTTAATGAGGGAAGGGAACAGCCCAGGAGTGACACTCAGGATGTGTCTGATGAGAGAGGATGCAGATGGCTGTTAGGACAGAGGCTCTTCTGCTTCCTCTCTGCCTTCTCGTTAACTTCTCGAAATCGGGCTCGGGGACAGAATTTAAATTCATGTTCCGGGACAGCAGGTGTCATTGAACCGATTTTCTTATGGTTAGAGACAAAAAAAGGAAAATGGCTTTTGTACCAGAGGACAGCTGGGATGGAGAAAGTAGATCAGGTTGGTTCCTGTGTTAACCAGGATGAGCTGGAACACGCTGCAGTAACAAAGATCCCCGAATCTCAGTGACAGAAAGCAGCAGAGGTTCATGTCTGCCTGGGGGGCTGGTGGAGCCTCTGCTCCACACTGGCCTCAGGGATACAGGACCTTCACTGGATGCTGTGGTGAGGGGAGGGATGTGGCAAATTGTGCCCTGGCTTCTGTCACTTGTCTTGGCCACAGCAAGTTGCTTGGCTCTGCCTGATTTGCAGGGGATGGGAAATGTAATCTGATCATGTGCCTAGAAGGAAGAGGACAGAAATATTTGTTGAGTGCTTCCTTGAATAGCATCCCTGTTCCCGCATCCAACTCCATCCCAACCTAGGTTATCTGATCACACAGGGAGATACCCGCCCCCACTTCCCCATAGAGAAAAGGGAGCTAAATGCTCTTTGGTTTACCTCTCAACCAACCAGAAGAGACAAGTTCACTTCCTCTCCCAGATGACTTTGGGCAAGTTACTGAATGTCCCCAAGCTTTTTCCCCTCTCTGTAAGATAGGAGAATACTAGTACTTACCCTGGATGTTATTTCTCTCTCTTTTTTTCTTTTTTATTGATATTAGAGAGAGAGGAAGGGAGAGGGAGAGAGAGATACAAACATCGATGAGAGAGAACATCTATTGGCCGCCTCTTGCATGCCCCCCACTGGGGATTTGGCCCACAACCTGGGCAAGTGCCCTGACCGGGAATCGAACTGGCGACCTCTTAGTGCACAGGTTGGTGCTCAACCACTGAGCCACACCGGCTGGGTGGAAGTTATTTCTGAAGGTCAAGTGACATATCACACAGAAGGACGCAGCACGGGGCCTGGCACTTGCTGTGTGCTCAGGAATGTTGTAAGAACAGCTTGGTTCCTCTTTCTGTGAAACGGCGAGGAGAGTCCCTCCCACTGGGTCATTGTGGACATCCAGTAAGTTATACCTGTGAATCACTTAGTGCGTGGTTCCTGGCTCGTGGCAAGTGCTCAGGAACTGCATCTGAGAAGCTGCTTAGGATTCTTCAGGGGCCTCTGGACAGAAGGAAGGGAGAAGAGGACTATCAGTGGGGTTCAAGGGCAGACACAGAACCTCACTGGGGGGAGGGGGGTTCTTGCAAGTCTATGTGGGGAGGTAAGAAAGACCCGAACCAGGTGTCAGAACCGGAAGGTCCCATCACCAGCCAGGATATAACATCGGCTTCTGTGTATGACCAGCAGCCGCTCCGTGATTCAAGACAGACTCAGCTCTCCCTTCTCGGCATCTCTTTATGTCCCTCTACTGACCCCACTACCCCCCAGCTCCCGTGCCTCAAGCTCCTGGTGCTTCATGGCCCCTACTCACTGTCCCCTCCCTCTCTCTGATTCCCTGCCACTTGCTGGCTATTTGCAGGTGACATGCCTATCTCAGATCCATTTATCTGGTTGGGAGTGGGTGGGGTGGATGGCTTGGGGTACAAAGCCAGGCTCCAGTGCCTAAGGAGCAGGGTGATGGGGGGTCAAAAAGTTCTGTAGCTTCTGAAAGTAGGTAGTGGAATGGGTAGCCCAGGGCACGAGGTCTGTGGTTTGCTGCATTACCTTGGACAAGTCGCTTGTTAACGGATGCTCCGTCCCCTCGCCTGTAAAATGAGAATAGCAATCTTCAACTTACAGAATGGCCACGAGGGCTCAGAAGCAGCTGTCATTCTTCCAGCCCCGTCCGAACAGGAGAAATCAGTGCTCGATGCCACAGACCAGAAGGGGTGGCCACATGTGGCTTCTTCTCCAGACCACCTCTGAGCCAAGTGGGCGCATTGGGGTCACAACCAGCCAAAGCAAACCCAAGGGAAGGGGGCCTTTTAAACTCACGCTCCTGGAGAGCTGGGGTTTGCACCCTTTTTCTTAAAAGGCCAGACAGAAATATTTTAGATCTCTGCTGCTGTAGCACAGAAGCAGCCCTAGATAATACATGAATGAACGGGCATAGCCATGATTCGATAAAAGTGTACCTAGAGAAACAAGCGGCAGGTGGGAATTGGCCGCCAAGGAGTTTGCCCACCTGCTGGAGGAGGAGCCACGCTGAGTGCCCGCCTCCCGGACACCGCACCAGCGCTGCCTCCCCTGCTCTGTCCGCACCCCTTCCTTGGGAGCCCTTCAGAGGCAAAGTCAGGAAAAGTAACGGAAAAATCTTCCCTCAGAACTTCTCCTTGTGGCCGATGCATTTCTGTAGCGGCGGGGTAGATGTATGGGACCAGGTAGTGTTCTCTGTGGCTTCAGAGGTCCCCTCGAGGGCTGGCTTTGGGACAGCGGATACTCTTTGGGGTAAGGCCTCGCCAGTGGGCTGTCAGCAGAATTGACGTGTTTTAGGGATGATACAGGAAAGAGCTGAGTTTGGGGCGCCTGCTTCCCTTGCCCGAAGGACTCCTGGCCTTTCTCTTGGCCCCCAAGTGGCTAGATCAGTTCTGCCCCAGGTACAGACACCAAGAATCAGAGCTCAAACACAAGTGTGTCCCAAGTTTGCGTCTCCCCTGGGACGCACTGTAAGGCTCCTTCTGCAAAGGTGTGCTCCTCCCAAATGCCCAGCGATGTCTCTCCTTCGGAACTGACTCGGGCTCCATCCGGTCTCTCCTATGGGCACAGATCCATGAACAGATCCTAAAAGGCAGTGGGATGTATATAATATCCCACTAATATTTTTTCTCTTTATAACTTTATTGTAGCATTGTCAGCCCTTAAACACACCATCAAAGCACTCTTTGCTGAAATTTAAACAGGAAGCTGGAATAAAACGTCCATAATGCAGTCAGAGGTAGTCAAGGAAACTTATTGGAAAGGGGGGTATGTTCATAACCCGTGTTGAGCCTCATAGTCATAATCCTTGAGTGCTGCAAAAGCACTTAGTTTCTAGTTGGAGCATCTCATGTTTTCAGATGGGGAAACTGAGGTCCAGAGAGAAAAATCTTACCTGCAGTTAAGCTCATAGCAAAGGTGGGGCCTCACGCCAGGGCCCAGACTTCCAGTCGTCCGGGCCCCGCTCTCCACGGACCGACCCGCTTTGCGCGATCGTTCAGTAAAGTTTCTCTCCCGTGTTTCTTTCCCGTCTTCTCCAGGATGGCTACTTCTCTCACCGGCCCAAAGAGAAAGTGCGGACGGACAGCAACAACGAGAACTCGGTCCCCAAGGACTTCGAGAATGTGGACAACAGCAACTTTGCCCCCAGGACACAGAAGCAGAAGCACCAGCCTGAGCTGGCCAAGAAGCCCCTGAGCCGACAGAAGGAGCTTTTGAAAAGGAAGCTGGAGCAGGAGAAGGGGAAGGGACACGCGTCCCCGGGCAAAGGCGCCAACGAGGTGCTGCCTCCTGGCGAGGGAGCTGCGGTGAACAGTAGCCATGGGAAGGATGCCCCCAGACAGCCCCATGCCAGGAAGAGCGGGGGTAGCTCCCCCGAGATCAAGTATGACCAGCCACCCAAGTGTGACATCTCGGGCAAGGAGGCCATCTCCGCCCTGTCGCGCTCCAAGTCCAAGCACTGCCGCCAGGAGATCGGCGAGACCTACTGCCGCCACAAGCTCGGGCTGCTGATGCCAGAGAAGGTGACGCGGTTCTGCCCGCTGGAAGGTAAGCCGCAGCCCGAGGCCGGGGACGCGTCTCCTCTCCAGCCCTCCCTCCTCCCCGGTCCCGTCCGCTCACATCTTCAGTCCTGCTGAGAATGAGCGCCCTTGTTTTCAAACCCCAAATCGGGACACAACATCTGATTTCTTTGGTACTCCCTGAATTTCGAGGTCTCGTATGAAAAAGTATTTCAGCCCTGGCCGGTTTGGCTCAGCGGTTAGAGCGTCGGCCTGCGGTCCTGAGAGACCCGGGTTCGGTTCCCGCTAGGGGCATGTACCTTGGTTGCAGTTTGTCCCCGGCCCTGGTCGGTTGTGCGGGTGGCAGCCACTCGATGTGTCCCTTTCACATCGATGTTTCTCTCTCTCTCTCTGTTCCTCTCTCTCCCTCCCACTCTACCTGAACAAAAAAAATGGAAGGATGTCCTCGGGTGAGGATAAAAAAAAAGAAAAGAAAAGAAAAAGTATTTCAGACTCAAATTGCCTTTTGTTATAGAGGGGAGGAGACTTCCCCAGAGTCACCCAGTTTATCAGAGGCTGAACCTGAGCTAGAATTCGGGCCTCCTCATCTCCAACAGGGGCCTCTCTGTTGACCACTGGTCACAGAATGATGAAGGACTTGGGTCGGGGGGGGGGCAGCCACGCATGCTGAGGGCACAGCGAGGCCTGGAAGCTGTCCATGTGGCCCCCCGGGTGGGGTGCAGTGGGAACAATCTCACTTTTTACTCAAGTTCATCTGTATATTTTGAGTTTTTTTAGTAGCAAATGTGTACCTATACTTACTTTTAAATAGAAAGATTGTCTTAAGTTCATTTCTCCTTTGCATTTTAACACCTCGTCGACATTGTCCACGTGGTTCCCGTCTTTGTTCTTGGGAGCTCGCGGCCGACAGAGCGCAGGGGTCAGTGGAGGGAGATGTTTCTCAAGTCTTTTGTTAACCTGTGTGGGGCCTGGCAAAAAAAGTGACGGAAGCCGAGTTGAATGCCCTTCCAGGAGAATAATATTGGGGATGCATTGTATACCAAAGTTGACTGCTTACTTCTGCTGGATACCAGTCCTAGATTCAGCAGTGCCCCCCGTGGTCTGTGGTTTTCCGAGGTTCCTGTTACCTGCGCTCAACCACGGTCTGAAAATATTGGAAGTAATGAGAAATTCCAGAAGTGAACAATGCATAAGTTGTACGTTGTGCGCTGTCCTGAGTAGCATGATGAAATCTCGTACTGGCCCCATACACCTGCCTGGGATGGGAGTCATCCCTCTGCCCAGCATCTCCACAGTGTATATTAGTCACTTAGTAGCCGTCTGGGATCTCGGATCTACTGTATTGGTATCGCAGTGCTGTGTTCAAGCTATCCTTAGTTTACTTAATATTACCACATTCACATAACCTTTATGTCAGTACATTGTTATTGTTCTATTTTATTGTTGTTTTTAATCACTTACTGTGCCTAATTCATAAATCGAACTTTATCCTAAATAAGTATGTATGGAAAAGAACATAGTATATATGGAGCTCAGTACTCTGCACAGTTTCAGGCATCCCCTGGGGGTCTTGGGGAAGGGGGGCTACTGTACTAGTATATCCAACACTGTTCGCAGCTTGTATTACAGTGAATCTAACACAAGGCTCTGAGGTACCTCTGTTAACCCATTTTGTTGATGCGGAAACTGAGGCTTAAAGAGGTTGAATACTTGGCCGGAGGAGCACAGCTAGTAGATAGCACAGGTGGGATTAGAATGCGGGTTTCAGAGCCTCTCCCTCTTCAGGAGGCTGAAGGTCTCACTTGGCTCAGATTGCCAGCTCTCAGGGACGTCCTGCGGCCTGTAGGCTGTGTCTCTGTTGCCAGTGTAGGTGCAAGGAGAAGAGAGGACGTGAATGGGGAACAGGAGGGTGGATGTTGCCAGTGGAGGCCAAGGGTCCCTACGCTTCTCCGGGTCACACTGAGTCATCTCTAGTGTGGTTTTTCAGTGTGAATTTGCCGGGGGTTCCCTGTGGCCTTTGCTGCACCAGCCAAGGTGGCACAGCCGCCCGGGACTGTTAATACGATTGGCATTTAAGAGCCATTGCGCACCCGGCCCGGCAATGCTTTAATTTGCTGCACCACGGCCTCCCCTTTTGCAATAAATTTACTGTGAATAGACTAATTGCAAAATAACCCTAATTGGATAGTTATCAATGAACAAGTTCCCGTGGAACAAAACGGCTTACAATTAATAGCATTTAAGCCATAAACTATTCTTCTGCAGAAAGCTAAGATGTAATTACACCCCATACAGAGATTGTGTTCCCTTTCTGGAAACTATGACACCCAGATTTCCCTCTGCCTAAGAAGGATTTGAGCTCCAGCCCAGTGGTTCTTTTATTTCCTGCTAAATGCAGAAATGGAAGTGGGAGGGGAGAGAAATTTAATATGTGGGTAAATATACATACACACATGCACACATACACAGATGTACACACTGTGCTTGTCATTTTGCTGAGCTCAGCATCACCCAAACTTCAGCCTGTATGATGCCAGAAGTTGAATAGAATGAAGGAAAGCATTCTTCTTGGCCTGAGGTCTGAAAAGTTCAGAGGAAATAAAATAGATTTTATTTTATTTTATCTTTATCTTTATTGATTTTAGAGAGAGAGGAAGGGAGAGGGAGAGAGAGAGAGAGAAACATCAATGAGAAAGAACATTGACTGACCACCTCCTGCACGCCCCTCACTGGGGATCTGGCCCACAACCTGGGCATGTGCCCTGACCGGGAATCAAACCAGCAGCCTCTTGGTGCGTGGATCAATGCTTAACCACTGAGTTACACCAGCTGGACAAAAATAGATTTTAAATGTTGACTTTTGTGAAGGGCTCCTGTTCCTGCCTCCCCAGTGCCTCCCGCCCCCTTGCACAGCACCACTCGGGGAAAAGGAAGCGTCTAGAACCCCAGGAGATGGTTTGCTTCCTGTGAAGACAGTCCTTGCAGCTGTGGCTTGTCCACTTGACCCTCTGCCTGCTGGAAAGGGCAGCCGGAGCAGCGACCCGTTCTCACAAGAGAAGAGGGACCTGCGGGCTGTTCTTTAACAACCGCTACAGTGAGATGCAGTGAGGTTAGGCGGGGGGCCGCAGACCGGCTGTTCTAACCCTACTGCGGGCCCTTATTCCTCTCCAAGCCTCTGTGCTCACCAAACCCCACCCACCCCTCACTCCCCGCCCAGGCAGCTCTGCACCCCTCAACCCCCACCATTGCCTGGGCCTCCTGTTTCTTCCTTGGGCGCCACAGTCACCTGAGGGCCTCCGGTCACACCAGCTGGACCTCCCGTGGTTCGTGGATTGAAACCGTATCAGCTGGAAGGTCAGCAGTGGCCTGGGCTGGAAAAAGACATTGTGCATCCAGAGATCTTCAGGCCCTGGGGTTTGAATCCTAGTTCTGCATTTACCTGCTGTGCGCCCCTCCCCGCCCAGTGCCTCAGTTTCCTCATCTGTAAAGTGGACACAAATCCTTCTCCTCACAGGACTGTGGCTAAAGTGGGGTCATGCCTATAAAACGCTTGGTGCACAGGGGGCCACGTGAAGCAGGTGGGTTTGGCTGTTGGCTGGAGTGGTGACCATGGCAGCAGTGTACATGAGGGACATCGAGAAGAGGAGGAGGAGAGTAGAAGTTCTGCCTGCCATGGCCTGGCTGCGTGTTTCTCCCTCTGTCCTTCAGATGGGGCCCCATGTGCCTCAGGCCTTCCCTCATGCCCCCTGCATGGTCCCCGTGGCCCCACTCCATCCGCCTTGTCTGGCTATCACCTCTTTTTACTCCGGATTGCAACCTAAATGCCACCTCCTCAGGGAAGCCTTCCCAGACCACACCTCCCCCAGAAGTCCTGGCCAGGTGAGGGGCAGAGGTGGCTTTCCCAATAAGTGCCTTTCCTCATAAAGACTGTTCAACCCGTAAGAGGCAGCCTGGTGCCAGGAGCCGGGTCGTGCAACTTTCTCTGCCTCATTCCATTTGGAATACATTAGGAAGCTCCCTCCAGTGGCCCTCATGAACCACCAGCCTCCCTGCATCTTGAGTTAAAATGTCCGAAGAAAGGCCCCACTGGTTGTCCTGGTCCCTCCTGCACTTCTTCACCCCTCTCTGGGCCAGGTCAAACCGGCTGCAGCCCGGGTGTCCAGGTGAAGAAGGGGAGATGAGGAACAGAAGTTGCGGAGAAAGCAGTCGCTGGGAGGCGGGGTGGGCTCCTACCTTAGTGGAGCTGGGGCCTGAGCAGCTGAGCGGGCGGCAGGTCTCCAGGGAGGGATGAGTGAGGACTCCAATCAGCGGACCGGCTGCGGGCTTGCAAACATCTGCACAGGACCAGGGAAGCCGGCTCCAGAGTCAGAATGAGGATGGACAGAAAGGGTGTTTCTGATAGGAAGGCAACTGTCCGTGTCTCTACCCATCAGCCTTTGCATGAGGCCAGAGGCTCTGGAGAAAATGGGGTCTGGCCGGAGGTGGCTGGGGGGGAGGCTGGCTGCCCGCTACAGAGAGAGACTGGCAGATGGCACTGCCAGCTGCGGAAGGGCTGTCTCCTGTACATCTCCACACAGTGGAGGCAGTGGGGTGACTGCACAGCATGAGGAGCACGAAAGCATGGCTGGCAGCCTGGCATGGAGAGAGGGATATGGAGACGTGGATGTCAGCTCAGGCACTCTGAGTGCCCCGGGGCGTGTGCCTCAGTTTCCCCATTTGTTGGCCGGAGACCGTTTTCTCTGAGGTCTTTTGCTGTATCACTCAAGATGAGAAAATGAGGGAGCAGCTGTGAAGGGCTAATAGGCATCACACTAATAGGGGAGGCGTGCCGAAGCCAAACCGATCCCCGCGCCGCTCGGCCAAACGGGCAGGGCTGACCGGCTTTCTAAAAGGCCAGGTTTGCAGAGGACCCAGTCGGACTGTTTCTGCCTCCTGCTGGGGAAGGCGCAAACCCAGTGAAAAGGAGGTTGTCAGGAGTAGTTCATTGGGGTTAGACAAAACTGGTCTTTGAACTTTTTAGGAAGGAGA